ATTTATTTTTATTTCTTCCCGTTTTTTGTTTATCGGTTAACTCAAGATCGGTTGTGTTAATTTCTTTTAATTTTTACACAGTCATAAGTCATTGTCATGAGACGTGACAGGAACATTTTCAAGGTCATCAATTTATCGTGACGTCATCCAGGCGCCATTTTGTGAAATCACGTTATCCATCATATCTTCATGATGGATCAGCAAAGATCATTCATATTCATATCACATATATTTCAGGTCAAGGGTCAACAGATCATGTCATCAAAGGTCACATAAAGGTCACGACGCGCGCGTACGTGCGCGTCAAAATTTAAAAATGCTCAAAATTACTTAACTATTGAAGGAGAGTACGAATCAGGTCATTTTAAGCATTTCAAAATTTTCCGTCCGTAAGTGTCAACGCGCGCGTTGCGCGCGCTCACAACGCGCGGAAAAGGTCAAATTCATTTTTTTTTACATGATTTAGATTTCTCTTACCGTAAATGACAATTTACATTAATTTCAGTCACTCTTGACCTTTTATAAGGCCGTGAGCGCGCGTCAAAGTTCAAAATCCGCGCGTACTGCTATGGGCAATATAATGCAAATTTGATCAAAAACATCCCATTTTAAAAATCAAAATAGCTCTTGAGATAGTCAATTGACCCCAACTTTTATATCATGGTTGGAATAAGTATGAGTTGGAGATATGATTTCATGTGTCATTTGACCCTCATTTAACTCATGACGTCATCATAATGGCCTCCGAACTCAAAATTTCAATTTGCATATTATGACGTCAGCATATTTTTGTAAAATTGATTGTATCTCTGTAAATATTGATTAATTTTCTTTCAAATTTTGATATGTTCTACCTGAGAATATTCTCTACAAATGTAGTCATCATGATATTTCATTTTGACAATGGCATCATGGCGTATTTTTGCGATTAAAGGAGGCATGTCAATTTTTCACATTTTGCGTGTATTCTCTATGGGACATGACTTTTTCTCAAAACTGGATTCTACATTCTCGTCTTTTGCGAGCAATATCTCCGTCGTTTTATCTTTGTTTACGCTGAGCTTTGAGTATGTTGTAGCTGAGAAAATAAGCTATCACAAGTGTGTCCTTTATTTTTCGATCAGATGCCGGGATCATGCTCATATTTCACTTACAAAGTGGGATTTGAGAATTCCATTTTCCGTTTACGTGTAATCTCTATGGGAAATGTTTTGGTATATCGGTAACGCACTTGACTTCCGACCTCGAGGTCCCTGGTTCGAGTCCGGGCGTCTCCAACAATTTTTTTCTTCACTTTTTTTTCATTTTGACCTTTCACTGTACAATCTCCTTTGAATTTTAAAACACGTAGTGTCGTATCTTATATGTCCATAAATACGAAAGTAATACTGCTAGAAGTATACGCCACTATGCTCGTTGCTAAGCTTACTTTATTCTGCCGGAGAGGGCAGTATTTCACTGTTTCATACAGACAAGTTTCTGATGGACATAGCAAATATCACATTACTACACCTCTCCCTTCTTTGAGATAGAGTTTCCTATAATGTTGGAGAAGGTGCATTAAGCCTGTTGAATACATACAGTATCGGCTGAATCGGTTTGGATCAAATCTAACAACCAAAATATATATGAGTGATTTGGCTATTTTCTTCTGAGAGTTGTTAGCACTTGTATTTGTGTAAAATCCTATACGTACGAGGTTAGTTATATTTGAGATCAACTGAATGCAAACACAACAATAAAAGGACTGCTGTCTTAAACCTGACATTACAAAATCCTTGTCGAAATCATGAACTGCAAAATACTAGACAAAGTCAAATAGAACTTTCATAACACTTACAACCTTGAAAACACCTTATTGAGGTCTGCTATAACACCAAACTGAAACAATAGAGTATTGTGCAACATTTGGCATTTCAACATCATTTGCAACAAAGTTGTGCATATATGTGTACTTGCACAGCATGACAATAAAATAAATGTTATTAACCAAAATAAATCATTTCTGTTCTTGTACTTTTTCTTTTGGAAACTAATGATGCAAAGAACAGTCCAAGTTAAAAATACATTGTACCACACAATATACAACAATAATGCTTTTGAACGAAATTACTAATAAACACATCATGTTTGTACTTTCAGTGTACAGTAATTTGACATACATACATGTACGTACATTTAAATCATTTTTTGTTTGTTTGTTTACAATATCTGTTTTGTTCGTGAAATATTAATCCTCTTTCCATCCTTCCTCTCTCCCTTTTCAATGAACAATAATGACAAACATATCAAAATAATCATCATCATTCGAACAGTATCTCTATATAAAAAAATAGACTGTTGCATTATTGAACTCACAACTGAAAATTGCTTGAAAAAAGAATTTAGGAAAAAAACATTCCGTATCAATCAGTGTGATGGAGTGGAACTGGTAGATGCGAAGCAGTATGAAAAGATTACCGGTAAAGACAAACATCAGAATGACAAAATGCATAAACAACCATTGGGGGGGGGGGGGGGGGGTCAAACTAGCTACTGAGATGAAGGCATTTCATCCAAAACATGCATGTAACCAAAACACTATGAGTACTGTCAAAAGGGAGGAACCGAAATATAGTTCTATGAGACATAGTCTGTCAAATATCGAGGCCGTCGCCGGGTACGAGAAGGGCGACTGGAGGGGGCAGGATGTCGGGAGTGAATGTTAGGGGCAGGGGGAACATCATAGTGATGTCCTGGAATGAGAATCCCTTCCTCGTCGCCAAATGTCGTATCTTATATGTCCATAAATACGAAAGTAAATACTGCTAGAAGTATACGCCATTATGCTCGTTGCTAAGCTTACTTTATTCTGCCGGAGAGGGCAGTATTTCACTGTTTCGTACAGACAAGTTTCTGATGGATATACATAGCAAATATCACATTACTACACGTAGAATCGCAAATAATGTAATAAACAACCATATTTACTTTATTATTACCCTATTATCACTTGATCCATTACTTTTCGCCTGTAATCCCCATGGGAGATGACTTTTTCTCAAATCTGGATTCTACATTCCTGTCTTTTGCGAGCAATATCGCCGTTATTTCCGCCTGGTTTTTGTTGATTTTGGAGTATGTTGTAGCTGAGACTCTATGCTATCTAAATGTCCCCTCATCTTTTCAATCAGATGTCAGAATCACGCTCATGATCATCATCATGATCATCATGATCATGATCATCATCATGGTCTGATCATGATCATGATCATCAACATCATCATCATCATCATCATTAACATTATCATTATAATCATCATCATAATCATTACTATCAAGATCATCATCATCATCATCATCATTATGATCATTGTTTACATTTACATATCGTTAAAATTTCTCTCTTTTTCTATATGGGAGATGACTTTTTCTCAAATCTGGATTCTACATCCCTGTCTTTTGAGAGCAATATCGCCGTTATTTCCGCTTGTTTTTTAAAATATATTTGAGCATGTTGTAGCTGAGACTATATGCTATCTAAATGTCCCCTCATTTTTTTCAATCAGATGTCAGGATCACGCTCATGATCATCATCATCAATATCATCATCATCGTGATGGTCTGATGATCATCAACATCATCATTAACATTATTATTATTATCATCATCTAACATTATCATTACCATCACCTTCATGTTCATTATCATCATGATCATCATTGTCTATGTCTATATAACTTCTCCCTTTCTCTATATAGTAAATATTCAAATCTATTTATGCTAGTAGAGTGCCTCGATTGCATCTCTTTCTCTTTCTCCTCTCTCTTGCTATGTTCCCCTTCTCCTCTCTTGTTCTGCCCCTCTCTCTTGCTTTGTTTCTGCATCCCCCTCTCTCTTTCTCTACTCTTCACCCTCTCCCTTCCTTCGTCTCACTCCTTCCTTGCCTCCCTCTTTCTCCCTTGCGATGTCTCGATCTATCTCTGCCCTTCTCTTTTGTTATACTCTCTCACCCTCTCCCTATTCCGCCTCTGACTCTCGTTCTCCCTCTATTATGTCTTCCAGTGTTCCCCAATCTTCTTTAACTTTTTCTTCTAACCTTTGTATTCTTGTTTCACCCCTACCATGTACTATAGAGAGAAACATGAAATAAAGTCTATTAGTAAACAGGTCTATTCATTGTTAAATTCATGTTCAAAGCACTAAACAAAGCTTATCAAACCAAAGTCAAAGCTAAATTGCATAGACCTATCTACATGCATGTAAATGACATTCTGCACCAAACTTAACATCACGCTATTTCCTTGGCGATCTAAAAAAGAACCGCAATGCAATATTACAAATGGTAATCACCTATCATCTTCAAACACATTTTAAAAGAAATAAATTTTAAAAACAGCATATCCAATTAAATTTGATATACCAAAATAAAAGCACATACTGAAAAGAGCAGCATTGTACAAATCTCTAAAAAGGGCATTTTAACATGTATATATATTCAACAGAAATGGAATACATATATAAAACAGGTACATAAACAAGATACCTACTGATTATATGAAAGGCCCCCTACATAGCAAGTGAGATATAAGTTCAGATAAACACAATAAAAATAAAACTAAAAAACAATGTACATTATGGATAATCCCTAACAGCCCTATATACCTCTTTGTTACAGCAAGCAAGACACTGCTATGTATAGTGAATGCAGTAGATATTGACAGTTGATCGTAAGGTACCACTATATATGGGGTAAATGTTGCAAATAAACTGACATTATAATCATAATCCAATATTGACTATTCACAAAACAAACTGGATATGTGACCTCTAATGACATAAAATTGTAGTGTACAAACATGTGCCATTGAACCCCAATCTTCTTTAACTTTTCCTTCTAACCTTTGTATTCTTGTTTCACCCCCTACCATGTACTATAGAGAGAAACATAAAATGAAGTACATTAGTAAACAGGTCTATTCATTGTTAACCAAAGTCAAAGCTAAATTGCATAGACCTATCTACATGCATGTAAATGACATTCTGCACCAAACTTAACATCACGCTATTTCCTTGGCGATCTAAAAAAGAACCGCAATGCAATGTTACAAATGGTAATCACCTATCATCTTCGAACACATTTTAAAAGAAATAAATTTTAAAAACAGCATATCCAATTAAATTTGATATACCAAAATAAAAGCACATACTGAAAAGAGCAGCATTGTACAAATCTCTGAAAAGGGCATTTTAACATGTATATATATTCAACAGAAATGGAATACATATATAAAACAGGTACATAAACAACATAAGTTCAGATAAACACAATAACAATAAAAACTAAAAAACAATGTACATTATGGATAATCCCTAACAGCCCTATATACCTCTTTGTTACAGCAAGCAAGACACTGCTATGTATAGTGAATGCAGTAGATATTGACAGTTGATCGTAAGATACCACTATATATGGGGTAAATGTTGCAAATAAACTGACATTATAATCATAATCCAATATTGACTATTCACGAAACAAACTGGATATGTGACCTCTAATGACATAAAATTGTAGTGTACAAACATGTGCCATTGAAAATCATAATCGTGTAATATATGACAATATAACAAATTACAGTGAATTGTCTTTCGCTGTACTACTAAGATCTGTTATCCTGATGTTAAAAAGAAGACAAACAGTAACTGTTATCAATGATATCCATCAGATTCTGTTTCATATATCAGCAACATCAACCAATATAAGAATTACGGTAATGCCAAGATAAGAAGAGTGACATGCATGTATAACTTCTTTTCCCCAAGGAGCATGCATAAGATCTATCTTTACAATATATCACTCAAAACACTGTGTGAATACAAGGATTTACAAACTTACAGAAAAATAAACGTGTTAAATCCCAAAATCTTGCAATGTATGTGCAAAGTTAAAACACAAATGTAATAAAATACATCATAAATGGCGCTTTGTTTCTGCATCCCCCTCTCTCTCTACTATTCACCCTCTCTCTTCCTCTGTCTCAAATAAGATACAACTATAAAGGAATGAGAGCGTAAAAGGAATTGAACAATCAGAAACAAAAACTATCATATAAAAATACATGTAGTTACATGGAAGTGCACACAAAATCCCAAAATATCTTGTGTGGAACAAAGGTATATGTTTACATTGTCATACCAGTAAAAATAAGACTAAAATCACACAGAAACATGGTATCAGAAAATAAATGTAAGAATCAGAGGTGGAAAAATGGACATGAACACACGTTAGTATGAATAAAGAAAAAAAAAGTATGCTGAGCCATACAGAGTGGCATTCAAAATGTCTTGGTCGAGATCGAGGCTACTTGTGCCACAATGCTCTTATGACAGAGCCGTAACCACTCCCCAAGGCCTAGTCTTCGTTGAACCAGGTATCACCGGAGGGCTGAAGTCCTGGGGTGATGTTACCGCTGTGTGTTGGACGATGAGGACAGCCTTCTGACTCGAGGGCGGTAGTTTGTTTGAACTGGTGAGCAAAGGGATATGGTGGTGCACGGTCATTGGTGACTAGGGTTGTAGATAGAAGTGAGCTTTGCAACGTTGCGCTTTGCAGTCATCTGAAGAAGTTATCTGAAGAAGTGAAGTTTAAAAAAATCATTTGAAGATTAGGAATATGAACAGTACTCAATTTTTCTTTCTTAAAAGTGTTAACCTTATTAATGAACGCATTTGACATTAAAAGTGTTCTGTCTATGCAACCCCAATGTAACATTTTCAAAGCAAAAAGATATGTCATAGAATTGCCAATTTACTCCAGGTGTGCCAATTTTGTGGGAATCAACAGTGTAGTGGCCGAGGTCAACCATCTATCCGGAGGAGCTTGAAATAACTCTGTACAGTAGGGTTAGGCTTTTTCAAACATTTTAGTTTGGCAATCTTTCCTTACCCTGTGAAGGTCCTGATACATTACATGTATATGCTGGTGTTCCATACTTCTGCCACAATGCTGTTTTGGTGACAGAGCCGTAAACACTCCCCAAGGCCTAGTCTTCGCTGAACCAGGTATCACCGGAGGGCTGAAGTCCTGGGGTGATGTTACCGCTGTGTGTTGGACGATGAGGACAGCCTTCTGACTCGAGGGCGGTAGTTTGTTTCAACTGGTGAGCAAAGGGATATGGTGGTGCACTGTCATTGGTGACTAGGGTTGTAGAAATGAGCTTTGCAACGTTGCGCTTTGCAGTCATCTGAAGAAGTTATCTGAAGTGAAATAAAAAAAATCATTTGAAGATTAGGAATATAAACAGTACTAAATGTTTCTTTTTTGAAAGTGTTAACATTACTAATGAACGCATTTGACATAAAAAGTATTCTGTCTATGCAACCCCAATGTAACATTTTCAAAGCAAAAAGATATGTCATAGAATTGCCAATTTACTCCAGGTGTGCCAATTTTGTGGGAATCACTAGTGTAGTGGCCGAGGTCAGCCATCTATCAGGAGGAGCTTGAAATAACTCTGTACAGTAGGGTTAGGCTTTTTCAAACATTTTAGTTTGGCAATCTTTCCTTACCCTGTAAAGGTCCCGATACATTACATGTATATGCTGGTGTTCCATACTTCTGCCACAATGCTGTTTTGGTGACAGAGCCGTAAACACTCCCCAAGGCATAGTCTTCGCTGAACCAGGTATCACCGGAGGGCTGAAGTCCTGGGGTGATGTTACCGCTGTGTGTTGGACGATGAGGACAGCCTTCTAAATCGAGGGCGGTAGTTTGTTTGAACTGGTGAGCAAAGGGGTATGGTGGTGCACGGTCATTGGTGACTAGGGTTGTAGAAGTGAGCTTTGCAACATTGCGCTTTGCAGTCATCTGAAGAAGTTATCTCAAGAAGTGAAATTTAAAAAAATCATTTGAAGATTAGGAATATGAACATTACTCAATTTTTCTTTCTTAAAAGTGTTAACCTTATTAATGAACGCATTTGACATAAAAAGTGTTCTGTCTATGCAACCCCAATGTAACATTTTCAAAGCAAAAAGATATGTCATAGAATTGCCAATTTACTCCAGGTGTGCCAATTTTGTGGGAATCAACAGTGTAGTGGCCGAGGTCAACCATCTATCCGGAGGAGCTTGAAATAACTCAGTACAGTAGGGTTAGGCTTTTTCAAACATTTTAGTTTGGCAATCTTTCCTTACCCTGTATATGCTGGTGTTCCTTACTTCTGCCATAATGCTGTTATGATGACAGAGCCGTAAACACTCCCCAAGGCCTAGTCTTTGCTGAACCAGGTATCACCGGAGGGCTGAAGTCCTTGGGTGATGTTACCGCTGTGTGTTGGATGATGAGGACAGCCTTCTGACTCGAGGGCGGTAGTTTGTTTGAACTGGTGAACAAAGGGATATGGTGGTGCACTGTCATTGGTGACTAGGGTTGTAGAAATGAGCTTTGCAATGTTGCGCTTTGCAGTCATCTGAAGAAGTTATATGAAGTGAAATAAAAAAAATCATTTGAAGATTAGGAATATGAACAGTACTGAATTTTTCTTTTTTAAAAGTGTTCACCTTCTTAATAAACGCATTTGACATAAAAAGTATTCTGTCTATGCAACCCTAATGTAACATTTTCAAAGCAAAAAGATATGTCATAGAATTGTCAATTTACTCCAGGTGTGCCAATTTTGTGGGAATCAATAGTGTAGTGGCCGAGGTCAGCCATCTATCAGGAGGAGCTTGAAATAACTCTGTACAGTAGGGTTAGGCTTTTTCAAACATTTTAGTTTGGCAATCTTTCCTTACCCTGTGAAGGTCCTGATACATTACATGTATATGCTGGTGTTCCATACTTCTGCCACAATGCTGTTTTGGTGACAGAGCCGTAAACACTCCCCAAGGCATAGTCTTCGCTGAACCAGGTATCACCGGAGGGCTGAAGTCCTGGGGTGATGTTACCGCTGTGTGTTGGACGATGAGGACAGCCTTCTGACCGAGGGCGGTAGTTTGTTTCAACTGGTGAGCAAAGGGGTATGGTGGTGCACTGTCATTGGTGACTAGGGTTGTAGAAATGAGCTTTGCAACGTTGCGCTTTGCAGTCATCTGAAGAAGTTATCTCAAGAAGTGAAATAAAAAAAATCATTTGAAGATTAGGAATATAAACAGTACTAAATGTTTCTTTTTTAAAAGTGTGAACATTATTAATGAACGCATTTGACATAAAAAGTATTCTGTCTATGCAACCCAAATGTAACATTTTCAAAGCAAAAAGATATGTCATAGAATTGCCAATTTACTCCAGGTGTGCCAATTTTGTGGGAATCAACAGTGTAGTGGCCGAGGTCAGCCATCTATCAGGAGGAGCTTGAAATAACTCTGTACAGTAGGCTTTTTCAAACATTTTAGTTTGGCAATCTTTCCTTACCCTGTGAAGGTCCTGATACATTACATGTATATGCTGGTGTTCCATACTTCTGCCACAATGCTGTTATGACAGAGCCGTAACCACTCCCCAAGGCCTAGTCTTCGCTGAACCAGGTATCACCGGAGAGGTGAAGTCCTGGGGTGATGTTACCGCTGTGTGTTGGACGATGAGGACAGCCTTCTGACTCGAGGGCGGTAGTTTGTTTGAACTGGTGAGCAAAGGGGTATGGTGGTGCACTGTCATTGGTGACTAGGGTTGTAGAAATGAGCTTTGCAACGTTGCGCTTTGCAGTCATCTGAAGAAGTTATCTCAAGAAGTGAAATAAAAAAATCATTTGAAGATTAGGAATATAAACAGTACTAAATGTTTCTTTTTTGAAAGTGTTCACATTATTAATGAACGCATTTGACATAAAAAGTATTCTGTCTATGCAACCCCAATGTAACATTTTCAAAGCAAAAAGATATGTCATAGAATTGCCAATTTACTCCAGGTGTGCCAATTTTGTGGGAATCACTAGTGTAGTGGCCGTGGTCAGCCATCTATCAGGAGGAGCTTGAAATAACTCTGTACAGTAGGGTTAGGCTTTTTCAAACATTTTAGTTTGGCAATCTTTCCTTACCCTGTAAAGGTCCCGATACATTACATGTATATGCTGGTGTTCCATACTTCTGCCACAATGCTGTTTTGGTGACAAAGCCGTAAACACTCCCCAAGGCCTAGTCTTCGCTGAACCAGGTATCACCGGAGGGCTGAAGTCCTGGGGTGATGTTACCGCTGTGTGTTGGACGATGAGGACAGCCTTCTGACTCGAGGGCGGTAGTTTGTTTGAACTGGTGAGCAAAGGGGTATGGTGGTGCACGGTCATTGGTGACTAGGGTTGTAGAAGTGAGCTTTGCAATGTTGCGCTTTGCAGTCATCTGAAGAAGTTATCTCAAGAAGTGAAATTTAAAAAAATCATTTGAAGATTAGGAATATGAACAGTACTCAATTTTTCTTTCTTAAAAGTGTTAACCTTATTAATGAACGCATTTGACATAAAAAGTGTTCTGTCTATGCAACCCCAATGTAACATTTTCAAAGCAAAAAGATATGTCATAGAATTGCCAATTTACTCCAGGTGTGCCAATTTTGTGGGAATCAACAGTGTAGTGGCCGAGGTCAACCATCTATCCGGAGGAGCTTGAAATAACTCAGTACAGTAGGGTTAGGCTTTTTCAAACATTTTAGTTTGGCAATCTTTCCTTACCCTGTATATGCTGGTGTTCCATACTTCTGCCACAATGCTGTTATGATGACAGAGCCGTAAACACTCCCCAAGGCCTAGTCTTTGCTGAACCAGGTATCACCGGAGGGCTGAAGTCCTTGGGTGATGTTACCGCTGTGTGTTGGATGATGAGGACAGCCTTCTGACTCGAGGGCGGTAGTTTGTTTCAACTGGTGAGCAAAGGGATATGGTGGTGCACTGTCATTGATGACTAGGGTTGTAGAAATGAGCTTTGCAACGTTGCGCTTTGCAGTCATCTGAAGCAGTTATCTGAAGTGAAATAAAAAAAATCATTTGAAGATTAGGAATATGAACAGCACTGAATTTTTCTTTTTTAAAAGTGTTAACCTTATTAATGAACGCATTTGACATAAAAAGTATTCTGTCTATGCAACCCCAATGTAACATTTTCAAAGCAAAAAGATATGTCATAGAATTGCCAAATTACTCCAGGTGTAAAGGGCCTCCTTCTTTTTTTTCAAAAAAAACAGGACGCTAAACATGTTTTATTTTTTATTTGGCCTTACAATAAATATCAAAATGCAATCTTAACAGCTTCATGGTAACTATAATATGTAGGGATGACCTCTGTTTCCAATAAATCTAGTCCCTTGCTGTACACATGATCTATCAATGTCCCCTTCTCAGTAGTACCATTAACAACATGCTGTTTGTAACCTTTATTACACATCAGCTTGTTTACCTGTGAAGAACCTTTAAACAAATCCTCATTAAAATCTCCCATCACAATACACCTAATGCTTCTTTTGTGTAATGCATCTAGCAAATTGTCTAATGATTCACAGAATGATTTGATACTATATGATGGAGGTCGATAAACAACTGAAATCACAACAGAAACTGGTTTGGTGACAAGAATTGCAATAAACTCTAAGTTGTCGACAGATATGTCTAATCTACTTGAATATGTATTCTTGATATACATTGCAACACCTCCGTGCGATTGTTCTTTGAGTACATTTCCAACTCCAGAATTACAGTATGAAAGATGTCGTGGCTGATGATAAAATCGAAAGTTATCTAAAATAACGTCACAGAGATCATCATCATTAATCCATGTTTCGGTCAAGCAAATACAATCTACATTCACAAATTGGCACTGGGATTTGAAATCGATAAAATGCTGTTTTAATCCTTGTACATTTTGCATTACCAAAGAAAAGTTATAATCGTGAATATCTTCAGAAGTTTCATTCTCGATAAACGGCTTCATAATCTCAATGCGTTCTTTAATTTCTGGATTACAATATATACGTTTAGGATCGAAATGTTCTATCACAAGTCCAGATAACGAAGTAACGCGACTAAGCCCAACATATGCCTGTCCAGATTGAAATACATTTTTTAATGATACAACAGCTTTGTCTAATGTCGAACCTTGTACTTTATGAATTGTGCAAGCATAAGCAAGCTTAAGTGGAAATTGTTTTCTCACATATTTCTTACCAATGGATTCTTGAGACATTTCGATTGAATGAATACCAATATCGGCCTTCTCAAAATTAACTTTGATGCAAACTGGATTCAAATTTGTATGATCCGTTATTATTTCTGTTACATTTCCGAAACATCCATTTGTCAGGCCTTTACTAACATCAATGTTTTTGAGCAGCATCACTCTAGCATTAACTGCAATCCACAGATAAGGAGGCAACTGGGTTTTCTTCTTTGTATAAGGTTTTTCCCGTATTTGATTTCCTTTTTTAACATCTTTGTCCATGTCTTGTGCTTTTACGCATATCACATCTCCACATTTTGTATGCAATAATTTCTTGTTCCAAGCATCTACTTCATTGTTACATGCATAGATATGCAGAGCATTTTCACATTCTTCACCAGTCTCGCAGGACTTGAGCATTGCTAGGTCTTCATCACAGAGAATCTCTTCCCCTTGTTTTACACGTAATCTATTTAAGAGAAAAGCGAATTGGGTATCGTCTTTTTGTCTCATAATGTCTTCAAGTTCTACTTTCTTGAAATTAGCATTCCACAATGCACCATTGAGTGTGTCTTTATATAAAGGAGTTCCTAAGACTGGAGGTAACTGATACATGTCTCCCACAGCAATAACTGAAACACCAGCAAAAGCAGTTTGATCTCGTGATTGTTTTATTTGTCGTAGGCGGCCGTGAATGTAAGACATCATCTTTTGATCTACCATTGATACTTCATCTATGATTAAAATTTGCAATTCAGCCAGCTTATTTCGAAGGACACTTATTTTCTCATCACTCAGCGGTTGATACAGTACTTGTGCATTGATTGGAATAGAAAGAATACTATGTATAGTATGGCCATTGATATTGTATGCAGCTACTCCGGTTGGAGCCATTTTCAATACTGAGACATCATCAGGATGTGGCAACATTCGGGCTAGTATACGTGTTGCTTCATAGTAAAGACATTTGATCAAATGACTCTTTCCAGTGCCAGCACCTCCAGTTAGAAACATATGAAACGGTTCGACCGATTTTCCATTTACTCTATCTAAACACCACTGTCGTATTTTGTAAAAAACACTCTGTTGCTTCTCATTCAAAGACCTCATCAAAGAATGTCCATCTTGTTTGGAAATTTTTACCGAACGTAGTTCGATGCTATAGTCATCTTTTTTCGGTTCATTCTTTAAATCTGGGATATCAAGATCTCCATCACAATCTTCGACATCTACATTTTCTTTGGGATGTTCAAGTCGCTCTACTTCCTTTTCCGGACATAAAAGACCCCATGCATCTTCGTGTGGACCAAATTTGTCAAGATGCTCCTGTGCATGATCAATTGCATCGGCGTTCATTTCAAACTTCTTTCGGTTAGTACAGACAATTGACCAGACTTTCTCCAATTCACGTCCACATATTTTCACAGAACCTGTCTCGTAGAACTCTTCATGTGTTTCAAATGTTGGGGGCTTTAATTGTCCATCTTCAAAATATGGCAGAAAGAGTTGCAAAATGCTCAAATAATATTTTTCGGGTGAGATAATGGGTGAGAATCGGGGATATCTTACAACTGCATCTCCCGTACGAGTACGCTTCTGAATATACCCCAGATCGTTATCTAATTTAAAGACATTTTTACTTCTTGTACTTGGCTTTTGGGATGCAGTTAAGATTCTATACTGAGAACAAAACGTTGCAAGACACATATCACTGAATTCTGCGTTTCTAGGTCGAGCTTTGTATCTGTCGAGCTTGCTAGGCATCCAAACATTCTCATCATCATCATTATCGTTATCTGGTCTGCTTTTTATAACGCTTAATGGTAAACTCATTCTGACAGGGTCGGGTCCAACAGGAATGAATTCCACTTTCCTAGAACATTCTTTCAATCTGAGACTGCAAACACGATAGACGCTTTCTTGAGCAGACACTTCACGATTTTGCATGTACACCTGGCCAAGTTTTTTCATGCTTTCCTTTGCGTTTTCATTTCCCTCTTTCATTTCTGATAGTGTATGACTCAATAGCATTCCGATTTCTCGTTCAGCTTTTGACATGTAGGATACAATATAAGCCACGCATGCAAATACATTTGTTACAAACTGCAAATCCATGTTGGCATTCCAGCTTCTTAGTAGACTTGGATTAAACTGATTTACCCATACATCTTGTATTTCTCTTTTGATGATTATACTTTGTTGTGATGCTAATTCATTATGTGCATTCTCAAATTGATTTTGTGTAATGCCAAGCTTTTCAAAGAGATGGTTTACACTGTTGTACTCGATTCCATTGGATAATGCATCTTTAACTGACTTCAACAATTTCTCTGCATCATCTTTAATCTTTTTAGAAGCTTTAATTTGATCATTGTCCTTTCCCTTATTTTGCACTTTCCCACAATCTTTAGCTGGAATCTCTTCAACAGGTGTTACAATGAATGTTTTTTCAGATGGTGGTCTTGGGAAATTAAATCTACACGCTTTTCCCGTTTTTGTGCAAGATTTAGAATGTTTCTTACTGTGTTGTTGGACCTTGCTCACTATTTCATGTAGTTCTTGATCTTCCTTTTCATCCGGTTTCTGGCAAGAAATGTATTTATCTACGAATTGTACGACATCATCATCTTTATCGATACCCAACTGTGGAGCATTTTGAACCCAGAACAAGGCATGAATGTGAGGGGAACCACGGGCTTGATACTCTACTCTCCAAAATGAATCAACTACTTTACCAATCGGTGCAGCGGGAGATAAAATAACTCTCTTCATAAAAGTGTGAAATCTTTTATCAAACATTCTGGCAACTGTTACTGGATTTGATCTTAAAAGATTACATTTTTCTGTATAGTCTAATTCACTCGATTCCCTGGTGTCTCCTTTTTGTCTAAGCAATGTATTCATTAATTCTGGCCATCTCATATCGGCAGATGAGAAAGAAGCAAACCATGTCGGCTTTCCAAGCTGTCGTACCATTGCGAGAACATCTTTTTGTGTCTTTTGCCAGAATGGAGGTGTTCCACGAATTTGCTTTAAAAATTTATAGCCCTTGTCTGATTTTAGTATTTTTTTAACTTTCTCTGCATCTTTCAAATCTGAGGCAGTTATTGAAGACGAATCATCTTTTTTGTTTGGACTTTGCCTTAAAGCGATAGAAACTTGTGATATAACCTGTTGAATTTCATAAATATATTGTGCATAAAAGATGTAATCTGTATTCTGAGCAAATCTGTTGTCCACGTGCATCAGTCGGTTATGGAGATAACGTCCTAATGTTATTTTTTCATCTCTTCTATCATGGAATGTTGGTTGACCTTTAGGAAATAATACTGGGAAACATTTGGCCTCATTGCTTTCATCTTGTAGAATTGATACAGGGCTTCTTCCTTCACAAGGAGCACAACATATTATGTCTTCAAAATACTGATCTAATATTTCCTGTCCAATATCTACTGGCTGGAGACACGAGTCTAACTGAATACCGCGTAATCGTTCTTCCATATCGTCTTCAGTGTCCTTGTCATTTATTTTTTTGTGTAGTTTACTGTTGTCTTGCATGTTTTCATTAGTATTTTTGTCTTTGGACAAAATGTAATCAATTTGTTCTTCCATTTCCTTCCAATATTTTGCTAAACGAGCTTTACCACCGATTTCCACTGCTTCTTCCTTTTCATTATCTTTTTCATTTCGTTCAAGTGAGTTTTCCCATTTATCATTTACTGTAACATCAAAATACCACTTATTATTTGCTTTTAAATACTGCAGAGCATTAAGCAAGTTAGATTTATCTACAAATTTGTACTCATAATAGCTTTTGTACGACAATTTTCGTTTGAGTTTAACACGGATCAATTGATCTTCAGTCTGTGGTCTTGGCAACATATCTACTGTTTCATAAGTGTTTGAAGGCACGCACACGACTGGGCCATGGACTCCATTTTGACCACCTTTAGGCAAGGCCATTAACTTCATGAAAGGAATATTCAATGCAATCAAATGCTGTTCTAAATTGTTCAGATTGGCAAGTTCTTTTGGAACTTCATGTAGTTGTAAATTGTTCATATTTGCTTCTGCAGGTACTTTTCCAGCTTGCAATTTTCTATGACAGGTGAAGCATATCCATAGTGACGATCTGGCTGACTGGCCTATTAAACATTTTGACCGGCATTCTGAATTGCAAACATGCAAATATTCTTCACTTATGCATGTCTGAATTTTATAATTACTCTTTTTACATTTCAATACTTGGTTCTCAAAGAGAAGTTTTAAGCATACACAGCACACATATTCTGGGCCATGAGAAATTATCTTTCTAAATTCTTCAAGTACAATATCAAACTCGGACAATTTTACCGTTCGAAGTACAGACCTTTTTCGATTTTGTTTTATTACATTTTGCCTATATTTTTCAATTCTTTTATATTTCATTTTTAAGCTCATCAATTTCTTTTCCTTAAATTCGTTGCCTTTATATCTAATTTTGGACAATGTTTTCATATTTGCCTTTTTTGTATGTTTAAATTGTTGATCGTTGCAATATAATTTCTTCATTTGTTTTTTCATGATATCTTGTTGTTTTTCCTTAAAATTTTCATCGTTGCGATATAATTCCTTTATTCGTTTTTTCATGATATCTTGTTGTTTTTTCTTAAAATTTTCATCGTTGCGATATAATTCCTTTATTCGTTTTTTCATGATATCTTGTTGTTTTTTCTTAAAATTTTCATCGTTGCGATATAATTCCTTTATTCGTTTTTTCATGATATCTTGTTGTTTTTTCTTAAAATGTTTGTTGTTCAAATATTTACTTCTTAATTTGCTTTTATGCATTCGTTTAAATAGTTCATCATGCTGGTATTTACTTCTTACTCTACTCTTGTGCATTCGTTTAAATAGTTCATCATGCTGGTATTTACTTCTTATTCTACTCTTGTGCATTCGTTTAAATAGTTCATCGTTCCAATATCTATTTTTCATTTTAATCCTCATAGCTGTTTTAACATTTTCTTTGAATCCTTCATTTCTCAAATATTTTTGTTTATTTCCATACAAAATTTTCTTTTTATAACGTGAATCAAAATGATATTTGGTTTTCATCATATTTAGCTGTATGTTCCTGAAATTTGAATCCTCTTCATACATTTCTTTTTGCCTTTTTTTTACTTCATTTATTTTTTCTATTTTGTAGGTTAAATCATTTTGATATTTATTTTTCATTTTAATTTTTTTCATTTGCGCATTGTGAATACACTTTTCCTTTTTCTTAATGATTTCATCTTTGGCCAGGGCTCGTTTTTCTCTCATTTGCTGTCTCATGCGCTTCCTTTTTTGATTAGAACTTTGTCTATTTTTACGTTTTTTCTTTCCATGGTCTACATTTCTAACATGAACTTCTCCAATTACTATTAATTCATCATGACTATCAGCACATTCGCTTGCATCAATTCTTAAGCTGTCGTTCTCATTCATTTTTAGCAATTTGGTTTTTCGAATTTCCTTGCCAAGGTCGACATCAACGTTTGCATCGCTTTCGAGGTTACTCCATTTTCGTTTTCTGCTTAAGATAGAGTTGGAATTCTGAACTTTGTTCACTAAATTTAATCTATCAGAGTCATTCCCGGATTTAGTACAATTTTTGGAATCTCCTTTTTGTTCATTTTCATATTCTGTATTTATAGAGTCATTTCCGTTCAGAAGACAACTATTATTTAGCTGGGATTCTTTTAATTTGGTTAAGCCAATTGTCACACTCTTCAGTTTCAATTCCTGACCGTTATAATGTACATCATGAATGATTGTTTCATTTGCTTCTTCAGGGAAGAGAAATACATTTGGGTTATCAATCATCTTTTGTGGGTGCTGACCGTTATAATGTACATCATGAATGATTGTTTCATTTGCTTCTTCAGGGAAGAGAAATACATTTGGGTTATCAATCATCTTTTGTGGGGAAACACTCTCATCCAATATTTGAACTTCATCAAAGCTTTCACAATGTATGGAACATCCAGAGCTTCCAGACTGACTTTCACTGTGCGTATTTGACGAAGGAATTGGATTACAAACAAAATCCTGTAACTGTGGATAGCCTTTCAAGGTTTCATTCTTACCGGAAGTTGCTTTAGCACATACACTAGTTACTTCATATTCGGTGTGCAGGGGGCATCCCATTGATTTTGCTAACCTCATGCAATGCTTGTACACACCTTGCCAGCTTTGAGTACGAAGTACAACACTGTGTCCGTTACAACTCAGGAAACCTCGACTGCTTCTGGAATGTGAATCAAATATAAAGAAACCATCTTGACCAGATAATACAATGAAAGTACTTCTAGCAAATGTCACAAAACATGCATCAGAATCAGTACAGAGTTCTTTTTCGAGTGCTTGCTTCAATGTCATCGAAAGAGACTGGGCCAATATCAATTCATCTCCATCTAACAATCCAGTGACTGGTTCACGGCGTACTATGTTAAACAATTCATTGTACGCATCCAAATATTCAAATAGATCAGATATCAATAAGTATTGGTTGTCGAGTGAAGTGGATCGCCGTATGTAACAGTATAATTCATTACCGTTATTCAAAATCCTGTCTAGATCTGTACTTTTCCAATCATTGACATTTTTTACCTTGCTATACAACAGTGCAGAAAGTGAATTGGTAACACACTGCTTTCCACTTAAGTCACCAAATCTTGTATCACCTTGATTGAATGTCCCTTGGGCAACAAGCGTTATTTGTGTATCGACTCTCGTGCATTTGTCTTTGTGATCACTTTTAAGGGTTTCGTCCTTGGTGTTACGTTCGTTGTGAACGACTGATTCAGACTGATTACTTGCACACTGTTCATATGTCATGTCAAAAAGATTTGCAGTACCTTTCCTCTCATCGTGATTTATCGTACCAGTCTCCAACGTGAGCCTACGTTTTTTTCCCTTTGGATCAACATGGTTTTGAAATGTTTCAGGAGACTTATCCACTACTTCATCAATTTCTTCCTCTATCTGCGACTTGGATCTACACTTCTTGAACACATGCTTTACTTTAACATCAGCCTGAATTGATGGACATGGCAAAGTTCTCTTTGACGTTCTATCTTCTTTAGTTGTTCTTGTCTGTTCCAATGAATTGAAATTGACAAAATCTACAGATTCAACAACATTAAAATGAACATTTCCTGTGTACAGTATATAAATTCCCTTATCAGATGTTACAATATTTATTCTTCCAGGTTTCTTTGCAGAGAACAATTGCCAACATGGTACTTGGTCATTGTATGAATAAATATCAGTATCGATTAAATTTGCTAAAGCGCTAATTTCAGTGTCTGTAGCCCACGTTCCGTCTTCCTTTATTCTACGTTTCAAAACATATTCTCTGACTGTTCTATATTCTTGCCTCAATGTATTACTAAACATGTCCTTGGTTTGCAATAAATGTTTCACAGTGGCATTTCTTAAAATTGCATGATTATGCTCAGTTCCAGAAATTACATAGGAAATTGCACGAAAGAAACAATTGCCATCACCAGTAATTTGTTTACTCTGTAAAGGAACTCCAATAGAGCTATTTCTATCTAACCTTGAATCACAGCCTTTGCCTATATATCTGATATTCAGTTTTGAACAAATGTTCTGTTTGTCATTATTCTGGAGGGGTACAAATTTGAAATCTTTATCAGGTCTATCACGTAATCCAAGATCTGCTACAAATTCAACTTCTGTTTCTGTTTCATCAGTACATGTGTACATATTAGCATCTATTGCCTTTTCAATGTCTTCATCTTTGATATTTGAATCTGAAGAAGATTCTAAAGGATTCCTTGAATGAGCATGATCATTAAATGACATATCAGTATCATTGTCTGTACCATCTTTTACTGTATCAAAGCTTCTATTCTTCAGGTCATTGTCAAACACTGCATCTTCTTGTACACCATCTGAAACATCTGAAAAATCATTTTTCATCATATCATCATTTTCCAATACCGATTCACAGACATTGTCTACTGGTTCATTTATGGGCATATCTTTTGGTCTATCACTAACATTCAAAGGCATATTGCGTTGTGGTAAAACACTTCTATCGAATAAATCACATCCAGGACTTGTGTCTGTATCACTATCAGATTCTAAACAATTTCTTGCACACGAACGTTTCACTGGTATGTGAACATCACTGCCACTATCATCGTCTGTTTCAATTTCCCTATTTTCATCAAAATTTGATTTCAACAGATTATTCTTTGAATCGTCCTGCACAACTCCATCTGAACCTTTGTTGTCTTTCATATTGCAAATATGCTGGTCTGAGTGTTCATCATTTTTACATGTATTTGGATCAAGGCCTTGGTCACTTGCATTCATAGATTTCTTTGTATCCAGCTTCTCATTCTTTACTGCTAATTCTATTCCTTCATCTTTGTCAAATCTAATCTCTGATTTATCAGAAGAGTGATTTCCATCAGTGCCTTTTTTCCCGGCTTTGGAAGACTGACCTTTCTTGTTCCTTGCTCGACCTTTCTTGTTCTTTGCTTCTTTTCTCTTGCCACCAGCATGAACTCTGTACATTCGGAAATCCTTGATCTGTTCAAAAAGATTACGAGTGCAGGCATGAATATCAACACATGAATCTGTTCTTGATCGAGATGGCAAATAACCTGCTACGTCAGCCCAAGATCGTGTCTGCATCGTTTCAATTTGCACACAGGTCTCACTGTACAATTTCATTGAACATGGGGATTGCACACTGTATGCATATATAGCCAAAAGAGTTTCTACATAAGACTGCAAACTGACATCTTCTCTTTTCACATTCTTGTTTTCCTTACATACATTTTTCTTTCGGTTTCCATTTTTTTTCTCATGACTTTCATAGAATGTCTTCATTGCTTTGCCAATGTAAGTCACACCTGGTTCCAAGACTACACCATTCACTGATTTTCTTCTGATTTTCCTGTCTGTTTGATGATCATCTATTGATTTGGGATACAATTTTCTTGATTTTAGTTTCTCCACCCATTTCGTCTTCCTTGATTTCACAATTACCCAGTCATCCTCAAATTTTTCATTTTGCATCTCTTCGTGTTCTATTTGGGATGGATTTTCCATAGCCAAAGGATTATGTCTATCAGACTCATTTGTTTTCCTGTCAGTTATATGATGTTGTGTTCCTCTCAATCGATTGTTTTTTTTTCCCTTTTTACCATACCTCTTCTTTGATCTGCCACATTTTCTTTTGTTGGTCGTACTTGATAGGGTCCTTGATTGGTTCAAATCCAAGTAACAGTGTTCATCATGATCACCAAGAAGTTCGTATCTATTGAAATGAGAAGGGATACATACTTGATCAAACATGCGATGAGCGATGTTGTTATTTCCACACAAAGAACAAATCCAAATCAATCTCCTATCATTCAGTTTGTCTTCACAGGGCAGTTGCATACATGAAACATGAAAATGACTATTGCAAAACTCACAAAGTGAACTTATGTCATTTCCGATCTCACTTTCACATATGCAGCATGCATCAAACTCTGAATTCATCAGCGGTGCACAAGTAGACAGTACATCTAAGATTTCATCAACAACTGTCTTGAATTCAGTAGTGTCTATCAATCTTCTATCATTTGTGTCATTGATTGTCTCCTTACATGGAAAACCCATACAAGTAACATGATAGGGACCAGTACATGACTTGCAAGTTACAGTAATCTCATCCTCTCCAATTAAATTCTTACAAACACAACATGTATCAGTGTATTCCTCCATCACAAAATATTTCGTACAAAGCTTTGAACTATAAGATTACAACTGCCCTTTTGCTTTTTTGCCAAGACAAGGTTTTCCGTTCCAAATTATCTTATACAGTGTATCTGTATTCAAATTATGATGCACAATTGTAATTTGAAGTATCACTGTTGTCAATATCAATTCAAAATCTTTACTGAAATTCAGTGTATATCAAAGCCTGAACTATATACAGACTATTATGTTTTTGTTTCAAGATAAAAACTCCTTTAGAGGAAGCCTTCTATTCGAGCTGTAATGTCTTGATCACCTCAAATTGCCTTGTAATGGTCTTTGATTTGCTGTTCAAAGTGTTTGCTTTTGGGGGGATTTCTTTATTTTTTAAAGTTAAATGTATGGATTATAGGTCAATGTATGTTGTATTTTGTATAATAGACAATGCAATATCTTGTCAATACTGTATTCCTTCTTGGAATTATTTCCTTTTAACAAAAATGAAAATTAATGCCTAGAAAAATATATAGCTTTCAACAAAAGATGGCGCTCTTCGGCAATTGTGTTAAATATTAATCTAGAAGGTATTGATCGTGACGGAATTTCTCTTTATTATATTAATTTGCCTTGTGATGGCGCTCTATTAACAACAATCTGTATTAAAACTCTGTGTAAAAAAAGTCCACTTTATATCCTAATTTAAATATTTTTCTTATTATCTTTCTAATCGATCAAGCCGATTTATATTTATAAAACTATATTTATATCCCGATACAATGTTCGTTCTCAACCTCTCTGCAATCGGCTTACTTATAATACTAAAGCTATGAACACTACAGGAGCCTATATCCAGACACAAATTTCTTTCTTTATCAATCAACACTTTTATACAACCCTATATCAATACAAAAGTAGAATGTGTTCTTCAAACCGTCGTCTCAGTAAAGACCAAAATAAATTAATACCTCGATGTAACTAAATTTCTGTTTACGATGTGTTTGGAAGTATTGTTTTTGCCTCAAGATGGCGCTCTTTAAAATAAATTTCTGTGTTCTGTTATTTTTATCGTGTAATTCCTCTACTTTCTCTCTGCTAGTACGAAGTGTTCTAGTTTTGCCTTAGTTGGTCTTAAAGTTATGTTTCTAAATTCAACCTTATATGCTAGAGGTAATATTCACAAATTTTACTTTTATCAAATCACTCAATCAACCAACCAATCAAAAATATCTCTCTCACAATCGATTTCTACCAATTCAGTTATTCAATCAATACACTTTTTTTTCTCTGTACAATTTTCTCCAATATCTTAAACAAGCAATCAACCAGTCAACTTTATTTCTTTCACTAAAAATCAACTCAAAAAAGAAATTTTCTTTTATTTATTGTTTATTAACACTCTTGTTGGTCTTAAAGTTATGTTTCTATATTCAACCTTATATGCTAAAGGTAATATTCACGAATTTCACTTTTATCAAATCACTCAATCAACCAACCAATCAAAAATATCTCTATCTCTCACAATCAATTTCTAACAATTCAGTTATTCAATCAATTCACTTTTTTTTCTCTATACACTAACAATTTTCTCCAATATCTTAAACAAGCAATCAACCAGTCAGCTTTATTTCTTTCACTAAAAATCAACTCAAAAAGAAATTTTCTTCTCTTTATTGTTTATTAACACTCTTGTCAAATCTCGTTTCGTATCTTATTTTCTAGTTTTCACACAATTTCACACAGTTTGAGCAACACAACACAGAAATTGAAGATTCAATTTCAGAAAGACAGAGTAAGATCAAGATTGAGTTTCAGTAAGACAGAGTAAGATAATGAAGATTCAGATTGAGTAGATAGAGTAAGATAATAAAGATTCAGATTGAGTAGATAGAGTAAGATAATGAAGATTCAGATTGAGTAGATAGAGTAAGATAATGAAGATTCAGATTGAGTAGATAGAGTAAGATAATAAAGATTCAGATTGAGTAGACAGAGTAAGATAATGAAGATTCAGATTGAGTAGATAGAGTAAGATAATGAAGATTCAGATTGAGTAGAAAGAGTAAGATAATGAAGATTCAGATTGAGTAGATAGAGTAAGATAATGAAGATTCAGATTGAGTAGATAGAGTAAGATAATAAAGATTCAGATTGAGTAGACAGAGTAAGATAATGAAGATTCAGATTGAGTAGATAGAGTAAGATAATGAAGGATTCAAATGTTCAAGTTCGTAAATTCGTCAATATGTTCAAAATTGTAAAATTTCCTGACTGTCTACCACAACTCTTCTTTGACTCACCAAAGCTTAAGAGTGCTAGGGTTATTGTCGTGAGTTGCCCGCACACAGACAAGTTGCTGTCTACCACAACTCTTCTTTGACTCACCAACCTAGCTTAAGAGTGCTAGAGGCTTATTGTCGTGAATTGCCCGCAAACAGACTTTCCCTGACTGTCTACCACAACTCTTCTTTGACTCACCAAAGCTTAAGAGTGCTAGGGTTATTGTCGTGAGTTGCCCGCACACAGACAAGGTGCTGTATACCACAACTCTTCTTTGACTCACCAAAGCTTAAGAGTGCTAGGGTTATTGTCGTGAGTTGCCCGCACACAGACTTTATGATAGATGAAGGTTTGAATGAGTGCTTTTCTCAAAAACTCAAGATTATGAGTTTTGTGGGTGAAGATGAAATGGTATGAGATGAGATGGTATGAGATGAGATGGAGATGATAATGAAATCTGCTTCAACCAGTACCTGTCAAAGAGAAACACAAGAAAAAAAGTTGATAGCATATGTATTGTATTAGATTATACTGTCCTACTTTGGCAAAAGGAAGCAAGTGACAAAAGTTCAAAGTTCAAGTCGTAAATATTGTCAAAGCTGTAAAATGTTTTGCTGTCTACCACAATGCTAGAGGCTTATTGTCGTGAGTTGCCCGCACACAGACTTCCCTGACTGTCTACCACAACTCTTCTTTGACTCACCAACTAGCTTAAGAGTGCTAGAGGCTTATTGTCGTGAGTTGCCCGCACACAGACAAGGTGCTGTCTACCACAACTCTTCTTTGACTCACCAACTAGCTTTAGAGTGCTAGAAGCTTATGGACGTGAGTTGCCCGCACACAGACTTTCCCTGACTGTCTACCACAACTCTTCTTTGACTCACCAACTAGCTTAAGAGTGCTAGAGGCTTATTGTCGTGAGTTGCCCGCACACAGACAAGGTGCTGTCTACCACAACTCTTCTTTGTCTCACCAACTAGCTTTAGAGTGCTAGAGGCTTATTGTCGTGAGTTTCCCGTACACAGACTTTCCCTGACTGTCCACCACAACTCTTCTTTGACTCACCAACTAGCTTAAGAGTGCTAGGGTTATTGTCGTGAGTTGCCCGCACACAGACAAGGTGTTGTATACCACAACTCTTCTTTGACTCACCAACTAGCTTTAGAGTGCTAGAGGCTTATTGTCGTGAGTCGTGAAATGTCTTGTAAAGAAACAAAATGTGTCTGTCATTTGCAGATATAAAAACATAAATAACTCAAATTTAGATGGTATGTCACTTGCTTCCTTTTGCCAAAGTAGGGCAGTATAATTTAGGCCCATTTTAAATGTTTTGATATACACAACGCTTGTTTTGATATACAGTAAAATCTCATTATAACAAAGCCCTTGGGACCATAAAAATTACCTTGTTATATTAGCCCCAAAAAAACCCAAAGAAATAAAAATAGTTGAGACCAGCAAAATGACCTCATGAATTTTTTTTTTTTTTTTTAGTACAGTGGAACCTCCTGTTGAAGCAGACAACCGCATAGTAGGGGATCTTCATGCGGCTCTGGTTTCGCTTGCAGTTGTTGTGCAAGCATAATTTCTGTACCTGAATAATAATTATTTAACTTTTGATTAACACAATAAGGCCAAAAAAAAAAAGTTGTTTGGTTGTCCTCGACCGCCCGCTCGTCATTTTCGGGCCGCTCGTATTTTTTTTTTTTTAATTCAATTTTGTTTTCTTTTTTTTCATTTTTTCATTTTTTTTTTTCATTTTTTTTTTTTTTTGGGGGGGGGGGGGGGGGGAGCAATCTTAAATGCCAAACATACCATTTTATGCATTTGCAAGGATCAAAATGCGTCCCGTTGCCAGTTTGATCTTTTCAGTACGCAATTAGGTATTTATTAAACTTGCCATTTTTATTTTTCTATGTCAAAATGCCGTTCATTCAAATCTTAAACTCATTTTAAACCCCATCTGTACTAGTTTACAGGAGGGATTAGACCACCCTGCAAGGTCACTGGACAGGTGGTTATCTCATCAAATCAGCTCTCAGTTAATATAAGATAAAGAGGATCATGGGGACCAATGGTCACCGATTAGGCATTGTTTGCTACAAAGAGGGCGCAAGTAGCTATAAGTAGTACAATGGAGATTTAAAAGGTGCTGTATTTCAAAGAAAAAAAAATAAAAAAAATAAAAATAAAAAAAATACACACAAAAAATGAATTTAAAAAAAAAAAAAAAAAAAAAAAAAAAATCCGCCCGCCCGCCCCTACTCTAGAAAAGCAATCGAGGACAACCGAACAATTTTTTTTTTTTGGCCTAAGACTAAAAATCAGGGTTTCATTCTCCTTTAAATGTAGTTGGGTGGGGTGGGGCAAGAGGTGGGACACATCATACACAGCCCAAACCCATATCCATCGTAATTAATCATAAATTGAACAGACCATTAACAATTGTTATGCTGGGGGACTTCTCGCTCAGCCAAATCTTGCGCAACCTAATTTTCATACCCTTTACAAAAGTGGCCAGTGCTTACCCAAGAAACAATTATTATTAGATTTGTTATTGCCATATGATAGACGAGAGCTTCAACCATCCATACATATGACAATTTCTCAAAAATGTTTCACATTTTTTATTTGGCAGAATATTCAAAAGTGTCAACTTTTGTTTCAGACACTCGGTATACCTACACTCCAAAAACTTTATTCAGTCAAAGTCCAAATGGCAGATGGCACCTGTCATCAAAACAAAAAATGAAAAATACAAGTAAAACATGACAAAAATATACAATACAAAAAAATGAATAAAACCAAGTTAGATTCCATCACAAATTCAACTTTGGTAACAACTAATTTGCATACTTTGATGTCACTCAAACATTTCATAATACAGTCCAACCTCATTATAACAATTTAGTATTTCATACATATCGACCATCAAGGCCCCATTGCATAAAACTATTGTATCTTTACAATTAATGGTATCTCTGCAAACTATGGTAAATACCATTGATTTCTTGATTTTGATTAGCTATCAAGCAGTGTTGCTATGGTAATAACCATAGTTTGCACAGATACCATAAATTGTTAAGATACAATAGTTTTATGCAACGGGGCCCTGGGCTTGACAAAACACTACTTACCGTATGCACTTTTCATGCTAAATTAATATGCTAGAATTGATTTTTCCCAAAGGTCACCTACATTAATTATCCAACCTGATACTTTTCTTTCAGATAGCATGAAGGCAGTACAAATATGTATCAAGATTCCATTCATTCTTTGGAAGCTACCTAGCTATTATCAAAATTGTATAACATTTTTTTTGTTTTTTGTTGTTGTAAGATTCAAATTTAGAGATCTAATTCACGCCTACCTTTAAAGCAATAAATCTGTCCCACGTTCCTCCACAACAGCAGGCCTCTAATGTCCTACAATAGTTACATTTAAACAGTACCTAATCATCGACAATTGCTAATCATCAATAAGAGCTTACCCCATAAATAATGAGCGTCCACACGAAAACTTATGTTTAAGATTAAGTTTTTAAGCAACCCTCCCAATCAATCATTGGCCGGAAGTGCCGAGATAATCCCAGCTACAGGGACGCACAGAGGGTTGACGGAGAGGTCACGCTAATCGTGGAGCTCATTGATTAAATTACGTCCACACGGGATAATAGGGACTTTTAGATTTGCACGTCTACAGCTTTGACTGCAACGTGTGACGTCATTTCAAGGCACTGCGCATGCGTTACGTCGTCTCAGTCGGCGATCGAGAATGCGTCAACCTTGATTTTCCTAAATCTAGTACATACATACATACATATTGGTATTTTTATAGCGCCTTTACATGCTCAAGGTACTAGTATGCCGCGTGCGCATAAAATATACAGTTCCTCAGGTAGACAAAGGAACATCCCTTCCCTGCTATTATGTAAAAATGTGTAGAACAGGTGTCACATGCATAGTCACCTGTTCTACACATTTTTACATAATAGCAGTGAAGGGATGTTCTTCTGTTGAGGGTAAAATGAGGAACTGTATATTTTATCTTCTTTCTTTGTCCGTGATGTTCATAGTATTACTTCCTACATGCATGTATATCGTCGAGTGCAATCTAAAAGATTTCTAATTGTAGTCAACATGGGCAGTTAAGTAGTTGACACGCATGATCAGTCGGCGTTCCTCGTGTTCTCGTCCACTCAATCTAAAGGTCCCTAATGATAGACTGCGGACCCCCCGCTGCTCGTGAATTGAGCGTAAACTCTAAGAAATTTTGGAGTCTGATTTTTCAACTAAACTTAAAAATTGCTAATTTTTTAGTGCATCTATACGGCACTAATCATTGATGATTAGCAACCTAATCGTAGATGATTAAGTTTTCAACCTAATTCTTAAGTTGAGCAAGTACTGTGTCAACCCAACTAATGTGTCAACACGTTGTTCGTTGACCATGACGGAATGTACAACTGCCATAAATTGCCGTTTCAATTGTCAATGTGTAAATGGGGCTTTACGCATTGCTCGTGGACCATGGCGGAATGTACAACTGCCATAAATTGCTGTTTTAATTGTCAAAGTGTAAATGGGGCTTTAGTCAATGCTCGTTGACCATGGTGGAATGTAAAACTGCCATAAATTGCCGTTTCAATTGTCAATGTGTAAATGGGGCTTTAGGCATTGCTCGTTGACCATGGAGGAATGTAAAACTGCCATAAATTGCCGTTTCAATTGTCAATGTGTAAATGGGGCTTTAGGCATTAACACCGTATTCAGGCGCTTACACAGGGGGGGGGGGGGGGGGGGGTTGGGGGGTTAAACCCCCCCCCCCCCCTTTGGTATTTTTATGTGTGTAAACCCCCCAAACCCCCCCCCCTTTCGTTTTTTTTTTTAATTATAAAAAAAAAAAAAAAAAAAAATTATTCCCATGGCTGTAACCCCCCCCCCCCCCCAACGGAGCCAAATGTCAAATTTTCAAATTTCGAGACCCCCCCCCCCCAAAAAAAAAGTGTCCTCTTACCCCCCCCCCCCCCCCCCTTGCTTATTCAGCGGTTGGCTGAGTCGTTGCGTTTTTTGGGGAACAAAAAAAAAAAAAAAAAGTGACCTCTTACCCCCCCCCCCCCCCCCCCCCCCCTCCCCGCTTATTCAGCGGTTGGCTGAATCGTTGGGATTTTTTGGGGACCACAAAAAAAAAACAAGTGTCCTCTTACCCCCCCCCCCCCCCCCCCCCCCCCTGCTTATTCAGCGGCTGGCTGAGTCGTTGCGAAAATGTGCACACATTGTGTGCGGGTAAGCCTGAATCCGATGACCGGGGTAATAATATATCTGTAAAGCGCTTAGGCACATTGTTGGATCGGTGTATTGAGCGCTATATAAAAAAACAGATTATTATTATTATTTCATAATACAGTGCAACCTCATTATAACAACTCAGTATGTCATACATATCAACCATCACGACCCCATTGCATAAAACTATCGTATCTTTACAATTAATGCTATCTCTGCAAATTATGGTAAATACCATTGATTTCTTGATTTTTATTAGCTATCAAGCACTGTAACTATGGTAACTAGAAATATCGCAATCTGTATTGACGCGCAATGCGAATGTATCCCCCGGCAGTGGCAGCGATTTTGTGTCATCCTTATGGTCGAAGGAGGGACAAAGATCCCCTCTCCCCCCCTCCCTGAATCAAAAGGATGACGTAGAGACCGCCAATTGTGGCTCAGACTATTGTCAAGACTAGGAGCAGCATCATCAAAACAATATACGTGTAGATTAAGTATAATGCATCTCTGTAGAAAATTTGAAAGAAATCTGTCAAGAAATGTGGCAGTTAGAGCGCACAAAAGACATCCACCAAACTATGACCTTTGACCCTATAACAGACGGAACACAGGTGGCAGCATCACCAAACACGAACGATGTGTAGATCGTACTCAGACACACCTCCATCATACATATGAAAGAAATCTGTCAAAAAATGTGGCAGTTAGAGCGCATAAAAGACATATATAAACTTTGACCATATAAAAGACAGAAAAATGAGGGCAGCATTGCCCAAAAGAGTAGATGTGTAGATTATACCAAGATACACCTTTGTTGAAAATTTGAACAAAATCTCTTGAAAAATGAGGCCCATAGAGCACACACAAACCATCCAAAAGAATATGGCCATTTAACCTATAGAAGACGGAACACTGAGGGCAGCACCACCACAAGTTATAGGTGTGTAGATTATACCAAGATACATCTCCATACAAAATTTGAAAGAAATCTGTTAAGTAATGATGCAATTAGACCGCAAACTACAGTGCCACAAAGACATCTATCAAAGTATGACCTTTGACCCTATAAAAGCGGAACACTGGAGGCAGCATCACAAAAATCTATAGGCTTGTAGATTCTACCGAGATACACCTTTGTTAAAAATTTGAACAAAATCCCTTGAAAAATGAGGCCCATAGAGCACACCCAAACCATCCAAAAGAATATGGCCATTTAACCTATAGAAGACGGAACACTGAGGGCAGCAGCACCACCAAAAGTTATAGGTGTGTAGATTATACCAAGATACATCTCCATACAAAATTTGAAAGAAATCTGTCAAGAAATGTGGCAGTTAGTGCGCACACAAGAATAAAATATGGCTTTTTACCCTATAGAAGACCGAACACTGGGGGCAGCATCAACAAAAGTTATAGGTGTGTAGATTATACCAAGATACACCTCCATACAAAATTTGAAAGAAATTAGTCAAGAAATGTGGCAGTTAGAGCGCACACAAGAATAAAATATGGCCTTTTACCCTATAGAAGACGGAACACAGGGGGCAGCATCACCAAAAGTTATAGGTGTGTAGATTATACCAAGATACACCTCCATACAAAATTTGAAAGATATCTGTAAAGAAATGTGGCAGTTAGAGCGCACACAAGATGACGGGGCGGCGTAACGCTGCTGAATCAAAAGTACCCCACCGACATACTGCCGGGGGATACAATTACCATAGTTTGCAGAGATCAGGCGCGTACACAGGGGGGGGGGGGGGTGTGTTTGAGGGGTTACACCCGCCCCCCCCCCCCCTTTGGTATTTTTATATGTGTAAACCCCCCCGTAATCCCCCCCAAAACACCCCCCTTTGGATTTTTTTTTTTTTTTTTTTTATTAAAAAAAAAAATATTTTCATGGCTGACCTAAAAAAGGTGACCTTACCCCCCCCCCCCCCCCAACGGAGCAAAATGTCAGATTTTCAAATATTGAGACCACAAAAAAAAAAAAAAAGTGTCCTCTTACCCCCCCCCCCCCCCCCCCCCCCGCTTATTCAGCGGTCGGCTGAGTCGTTGCGATTTTTCGGGCCGATTTATAAATGTTAAAACCCCCCCCTTGAAAAAAAAAATCATTATTGTTCAATCACATTTTCAAAGAAAATGAATGAAATTAGGCTGATAGTACTACAAAACCCTTGTACCACTAAAGAAAATAAACACTTTGGTGTTTAATCCAAGCAAATTGATACATATCAGATTAAAATTATGTCTCACAATTCGGTATAGGTTAACCGAAAACCAAACGGATTCGGAGGGAGGATAACCGTTTTTGGAATACTACAGCCCTAATCCGGAGTGATCTGTGCATACTGCCAGGAACCGCTTCAAAAATTAAACATGTTAAATTTGTTGTGGCGGTCATGGCAATTTCAAATGGAGCGTGTTCATTTGCGTTCACAACCCTGTTGACCGTTTATTTTTTTTGGCAGTTTCCCGCGGGAAGTTTACTATAGTTACTATAGTTTACTATAGTAAATACCATTGATTTCTTGATTTTGATAAGCTATCGAGCAATGTTACTATGGTAATTACTAATGGTTCTTTCCCTATAAATAACCAGAACCCGAGTCCCAAATTACACTTAAATATATCATATCCATCTCAATAACTGTCCAACAGTAACAACTCTATTTACCTCTGCCTCCTTCCTTCTCTCTCATTAACTGTCCAACAGTAAGAGTTCTATTCACCTCTGCCTCCTTGCTTCTGTGTCAGTAACTGTCCAACAATAAGAGTTCTATTTACCTCTGCCTCCTTGCTTCTCTCTCATTAACTGTCCAACAGTAAGAGTTCTATTCACCTCTGCCTCCTTGCTTCTGTGTCAGTAACTGTCCAACAGTAAGAGCTCTATTCACCTCTGCCTCCTTGCTTCTGTCTCAGTAACTGTCCAACAGTAACAGCTCTATTCACCTCTTCCTCCTTGCTTGTCTCTCAATAACTGTCCAACAGTAACAACTCTATTTACCTCTGCCTCCTTGCTTCTCTCTCATCAACTGTCCAACAGTAAGAGCTCTATTCACCTCTGCCTCCTTGCTTCTGTCTCAGTAACTGTCCAACAGTAACAGCTCTATTCACCTCTTCCTCCTTGCTTGTCTCTCAATAACTGTCCAACAGTAACAACTCTATTTACCTCTGCCTCCTTGCTTCTCTCTCATTAACTGTCCAACAGTAAGAGTTCTATTCACCTCTGCCTCCTTGCTTCTGTGTCAGTAACTGTCCAACAATAAGAGTTCTATTTACCTCTGCCTCCTTGCTTCTCTCTCATTAACTGTCCAACAGTAAGAGTTCTGTTCACCTCTGCCTCCTTGCTTCTGTGTCAGTAACTGTCCAACAGTAAGAGCTCTATTCACCTCTGCCTCCTTGCTTCTGTCTCAGTAACTGTCCAACAGTAACAGCTCTATTCACCTATTCCTCCTTGCTTGTCTCTCAATAACTGTCCAACAGTAACAACTCTATTTACCTCTGCCTCCTTGCTTCTCTCTCATTAACTGTCCAACAGTAAGAGTTCTATTCACCTCTGCCTCCTTGCTTCTGTGTCAGTAACTGTCCAACAATAAGAGTTCTATTTACCTCTGCCTCCTTGCTTCTCTCTCATTAACTGTCCAACAGTAAGAGTTCTATTCACCTCTGCCTCCTTGCTTCTGTGTCAGTAACTGTCCAACAGTAAGAGCTCTATTCACCTCTTCCTCCTTGCTCGTCTCTCAATAACTGTCCAACAGTAACAACTCTATTTACCTCTGCCTCCTTGCTTCTCTCTAAATAACTGTCCAAGAGTAAGAGCTCTATTCACCTCTGCCTCCTTGCTTCTCTCTCAGTAAATGTTCAACAATAAGAGCTCTATTCACCTCTTCCTCCCTGCTTCCCTCTCACTAACTGTCCAACAGTAAGAGCTGAATTTACCTCTGCCTCCTTGCTTCTCTCTCAGTAACTGTCCAACAGTAAGAGTAGATCTATCAAATCTGAAATGGAAAGATTCAAACACCACATTACATCCCAAACTGCTACTTAGACCGAAATCAATAACTTTTGTAAGAACCAACAGTTCAGAAATAATGTTAATATCAATATTTTGTTTAGGTACAGTACTTCAATGCATTTTCATTTTAAGCTCTTTTCCTGTTTCAAATTGTACCATTTCTGTAATGACATTATCATGGGTGGTGGCACAACATAAATTTTTAACTGACCAATGTCTAAACCTCATCTACTTTGTGGATGACTTTTCAGTTAAAACAAGGCATTAGCGATGTTGTCTCGCCCACTTGTGAAAATAACTAGAATATCGCAATGTCCATTGCCATCTATAAGAATTGTAGGGCCTATCGCAAGCTGATTTTGAAATATCTGCCATAGAATGCAACATCCCATAAACTTTGAGAAGGGGTATTACATGATATGCTACTGCCTTTCACCTGCTTCCACTGCATCTACTCCCTCCCCCTTTGATACGAGTAGAATTATTGCATTGATATTTTACATGTGTGAAGGTAAAATGTGTTTGTGTTTGTAGTGTAGCTGAGGTTGCAGGTAAACTTTAACGCTTGACCTCAAATGACTTTTGACCTCTCTATGTGCCAATGTTCAACCTGTGACTCCCCCCCCCCCCCCCCCCCTCCACCCCACACTCCAGCAAAACATAGAGAGTCATAGACAGAAATAACCGTCTGGTGTGGGTCATTTCTTTAATCAAACTGACATTTGTTGATTAAAAGCACTAGAAATAAAAAAAGAAAAAAAAAAACAATTGCATTTTATAAAAAACCAATATGAATGTATTACAAAAATAAATACAAATAGTGAGCCCTCATTCAAGACCAGTTTTGGTCATGCGATTGCATTGCGAAAAAAACGTTGTGAAATCGATCACAAAAGGTTGATCATCTAGCATATACGGTAAGTATTGGTGTGTACTGAAAGGTTCTGGATCATCAAAATGATGAGAAATTTGACCCAGTCATGGTAAAGTTACAAGCACTGTACACAGAAAGATGTATATGGGACTATGCGACACATGCGCAATATCTATCCACTCCGGATAGATATAATAATTTACCAAATATATCAATTAGTATCAAAATTTGTATCATCAGCTATTAGTCAAAACATATTCTTTCACATGATTGTTAAAAAAAGGTACCATTTCATTTTTTGAGAGGGGGGCTTTTCCAAAACTGGTCTATACCTTTACTGACATAATTAAAAGTAACTTGGTAGTGTCAAAAAGTTATATAGAAAATTTCTTAAAGCCATAGCTTTCGTATTCTGCATTCAATTGTTCCCAATTATGCGGATCTGTTTCATTCCATCATAGCTTTAATTTAAAAACTACTTGACTTCAGCCTTTCTAAGCATATCAACTTACTTTCTGCAACTCTCTCTTCAACTCTCAGTAACCTAAAATACAAACAAAACAAAACAAAAAATTACATTTAATAAAATACCAATATCAATATATTACAATAAATACAAATAATGAGCCCTCATTCATAATGCTAAATGACATAAATAAAACAAGTCAACGCAAAGCATAGCATCCCCTCGCAGGGTACATACTGGGAAATCAAACTAAGGCCATGTTTTGATGCCATGTACTTTCATATCAAATTTGATTAAAATCCGTCAAACATTACTAAAGTTATCGATATCAGAAACCAGATTCGCATATTTAATGAGCTATGACCTTTGACCTACATACTCCGAAATTGAACTTATGCTGTGTTTTTATACCATGTACCTTCATATCGAATTTCATGAAATCCATCAAATAATACTAAAGTTATCAAACAGAAACCAGATTCGCATATTTAATGAGCTATGACCTTTGACCTACATACTCCGAAACTGAACTTATGCTGTATTTTGATAGCATGTACCTTCCTATCAAATTTCATTAAAATCCGTCAAACATTACTAAAGTTATCGAATAGAAACCAGATTTGCACATTTAATGAACTATGACCTTTGACCTACATACTCCGAAACTGAACTTATGCTGTATTTTGATAGCATGTACCTTCATATCAAATTTGATTAAAATCTGTCAAACATTACTAAAGTTATCAATCGGAAACCAGATTCGCATATTTAATGAGCCATGACCTTTGACCTACATACTCGGAAATTGAACTTATGCCTCGTTTTTATACCCTGTACCTTCATATCGAATTTCATGAAAATCCATCAAATATTACTAAAGTTATCGAACAGAAACCAGATTCGCATATTTAATGAGCTATGACCTTTGACCTACATACTCTGAAATTGAACTTATGCGGTGTTTTTATACCATTTACCTTCATATCAAATTTCATTAAAATCCGTCAAACATTACTCTAAAGTTATTGATTTTAAACCAGATTTGTACTTAAGGCACACACAAGGAAGGGCTTCGACAGCGAGCAGCATAATACAGGGGTCTAGATCCCCTCCTTCTAAATAACTGTCCAACAGTAACAACTCTATTTACCTCTGCCTCCTTGCTTCTCTCTCATTAACTGTCCAACAGTAAGAGTTCTATTCACCTCTGCCTCCTTGCTTCTGTGTCAGTAACTGTCCAACAATAAGAGTTCTATTTACCTCTGCCTCCTTGCTTCTCTCTCATTAACTGTCCAACAGTAAGAGTTCTATTCACCTCTGCCTCCTTGCTTCTGTGTCAGTAACTGTCCAACAGTAAGAGCTCTATTCACCTCTTCCTCCTTGCTCGTCTCTCAATAACTGTCCAACAGTAACAACTCTATTTACCTCTGCCTCCTTGCTTCTCTCTAAATAACTGTCCAAGAGTAAGAGCTCTATTCACCTCTGCCTCCTTGCTTCTCTCTCAGTAAATGTTCAACAATAAGAGCTCTATTCACCTCTTCCTCCCTGCTTCCCTCTCACTAACTGTCCAACAGTAAGAGCTGAATTTACCTCTGCCTCCTTGCTTCTCTCTCAGTAACTGTCCAACAGTAAGAGTAGATCTATCAAATCTGAAATGGAAAGATTCAAACACCACATTACATCCCAAACTGCTACTTAGACCGAAATCAATAACTTTTGTAAGAACCAACAGTTCAGAAATAATGTTAATATCAATATTTTGTTTAGGTACAGTACTTCAATGCATTTTCATTTTAAGCTCTTTTCCTGTTTCAAATTGTACCATTTCTGTAATGACATTATCATGGGTGGTGGCACAACATAAATTTTTAACTGACCAATGTCTAAACCTCATCTACTTTGTGGATGACTTTTCAGTTTAAACAAGGCATTAGCGATGTTGTGTCTCGCCCACTTGTGAAAATAACTAGAATATCGCAATGTCCATTGCCATCTATAAGAATTGTAGGGCCTATCGCAAGCTGATTTTAAAATATCTGCCATAGAATGCAACATCCCATAAACTTTGAGAAGGGGTATTACATGATATGCTACTGCCTTTCACCTGCTTCCACTGCATCTACTCCCTCCCCCTTTGATACGAGTAGAATTATTGCATTGATATTTTACATGTGTGAAGGTAAAATGTGTTTGTGTTTGTAGTGTAGCTGAGGTTGCAGGTAAACTTTAACGCTTGACCTCAAATGACTTTTGACCTCTCTATGTGCCAATGTTCAACCTGTGACTCCCCCCCCCCCCCCCCTCCACCCCACACTCCAGCAAAACATAGAGAGTCATAGACAGAAATAACCGTCTGGTGTGGGTCATTTCTTTAATCAAACTGACATTTGTTGATTAAAAGCACTAGAAATAAAAAAAGAAAAGAAAAAAACAATTGCATTTTATAAAAAACCAATATGAATATATTACAAAAATAAATACAAATAGTGAGCCCTCATTCAAGACCAGTTTTGGTCATGCGATTGCATTGCGAAAAAAACGTTGTGAAATCAATCACAAAAGGTTGATCATCTAGCATATTCGGTAAGTATTGGTGTGTACTGAAAGGTTCTGGATCATCAAAATGATGAGAAATTTGACCCAGTCATGGTAAAGTTACAAGCACTGTACACAGAAAGATGTATATGGGACTATGCGACACATGCGCGATATCTATCCACTCCGGATAGATATAATAATTTACCAAATATATCAATTAGTATCAAAATTTGTATCATCAGCTATTAGTCAAAACATATTCTTTCACATGATTGTTAAAAAAAGGTACCATTTCATTTTTTGAGAGGGGGGCTTTTCCAAAACTGGTCTATACCTTTACTGACATAATTAAAAGTAACTTGGTAGTGTCAAAAAGTTATATAGAAAATTTCTTAAAGCCATAGCTTTCGTATTCTGCATTCAATTGTTCCCAATTATGCGGATCTGTTTCATTCCATCATAGCTTTAATTTAAAAACTACTTGACTTCAGCCTTTCTAAGCATATCAACTTACTTTCTGCAACTCTCTCTTCAACTCTCAGTAACCTAAAATACAAACAAAACAAAACAAAAAATTACATTTAATAAAATACCAATATCAATATATTACAATAAATACAAATAATGAGCCCTCATTCATAATGCTAAATGACATAAATAAAACAAGTCAACGCAAAGCATAGCATCCCCTCGCAGGGTACATACTGGGAAATCAAACTAAGGCCATGTTTTGATGCCATGTACTTTCATATCAAATTTGATTAAAATCCGTCAAACATTACTAAAGTTATCGATATCAGAAACCAGATTCGCATATTTAATGAGCTATGACCTTTGACCTACATACTCCGAAATTGAACTTATGCTGTGTTTTTATACCATGTACCTTCATATCGAATTTCATGAAAATCCATCAAATAATACTAAAGTTATCAAACAGAAACCAGATTCGCATATTTAATGAGCTATGACCTTTGACCTACATACTCCGAAACTGAACTTATGCTGTATTTTGATAGCATGTACCTTCCTATCAAATTTCATTAAAATCCGTCAAACATTACTAAAGTTATCGAATAGAAACCAGATTTGCACATTTAATGAACTATGACCTTTGACCTACATACTTCGAAACTGAACTTATGCTGTATTTTGATAGCATGTACCTTCATATCAAATTTGATTAAAATCTGTCAAACATTACTAAAGTTATCAATCGGAAACCAGATTCGCATATTTAATGAGCCATGACCTTTGACCTACATACTCGGAAATTGAACTTATGCTGTGTTTTTATACTATGTACCTTCATATCGAATTTCATGAAAATCCATCAAATAATACTAAAGTTATCAAACAGAAACCAGATTCGCATATTTAATGAGCTATGACCTTTGACCTACATACTCCGAAACTGAACTTATGCTGTATTTTGATAGCATGTACCTTCCTATCAAATTTCATTAAAATCCGTCAAACATTACTAAAGTTATCGAATAGAAACCAGATTTGCACATTTAATGAACTATGACCTTTGACCTACATACTCCGAAACTGAACTTATGCTGTATTTTGATAGCATGTACCTTCATATCAAATTTGATTAAAATCTGTCAAACATTACTAAAGTTATCGATCGAAAAACCAGATTCGCATATTCAATGAGCCATGACCTTTGACCTACATACTCGGAAATTGAACTTATGCCTCGTTTTTATACCCTGTACCTTCATATCGAATTTCATGAAAATCCATCAAATATTACTAAAGTTATCGAACAGAAACCAGATTCGCATATTTAATGAGCTATGACCTTTGACCTACTTACTCCGAAATTGAACTTATGCGGTGTTTTTATACCATTTACCTTCATATCAAATTTCATTAAAATCCGTCAAACATTACTAAAGTTATTGATTTTAAACCAGATTTGTTAATGCACACAGAAGGAAGGTCGGGCTTCGACAGCGAGTAGCATAATACAGGGGTCTAGATCCCCTCCTTCTTTGGCGAGGGGATAATTATTATCCCATGACTTTTACAAGCCGATCGCCTGTCAGCTGTGACCTGTCTAATTATCAACTAGCCTATCAAGATATTTATGATTGGAATTAGAAATTAATAGATCTAGACTAGATCTAGGTCTAGTCTAGATCTATGATCTAGGCCTATAGTCAGATATAGGCCTAGTATCTAGATCTAGTAGGCCTAGATCCCTACCGACTTACGGTTTTTAATTTATAACACTGACTTAGATCTAGATCTAGAACTAGGTCTAGATCTAGACTAGGACAGGTCTACGGTCTACACTCTATTGGGGGAAATGAGTATGGTAAAACCGGTCAATCAAAGTCAAACTGAGTCAAAGATTTTCACTTTTTTGAAACACTTCCTTTTCGTTTTTCGTAGGGCTTCAAAATTCAATCACAATCACACTCACTACTCAGCTCACTGAGCTGATATGATAACACGCAGACCCTATATACATGTACGGTATACGTAATATGTATCGCATCTCAGACTTGATTTGTACTAAAACTGCAAACATAATATTATAAACAAAGTCAATGCCTTTAAAAGTTTAAATACACTCACACACTTATGCGATAACGCAAAATCTCCAACAAACTAATAAGAAAGGATTCACGATAAAGTAATACAATAGCAACAACCGAATTCTTACCAAAACTAAGCTAGCAATCAGCACAACAGCACAACTATAAAACAGCAGTACTCAGAACTCATATGACCATGATCATGAGAATGTGCATGCAATTCGAATCGGCCAAAATCTTGGTCAGATTAAATTCGCCCTACAGACAATTCGCCCAGTATATTTCTCGCGCATATAATTTCTCACGAAATGCATGATTTTGCGTGTTTAAGGGAAAAGGAATGTCAAAACAATGGATATCTGATACCTTGTCGTTTAGGCCATGTAAAAAGAATATACATGTTTAGCGTCCCCGCCCGCTTCCTTTTTGGGGGCCGCCTCCTATTATTTTTTTGATTATTATTATTTATTTTTTTTGATTTTTTTTTTTTTTTTAGAGAAAAAAAACATAAAATGTCGGCGGCCATCTTGAAAAGTAGCCCGACTGACAGGGAAAATGTACCGAGCAGCCATTTTGAGCGGCCATTTTGAAAGAAAAAAAAAAAAAAAAAGGGCCTCCCCCTTCCTATTTTTCCTAAAAACAGGACGCTAAACATTTTTTTTTTTTTATTTGGCCTTATTCCATTGCTCCTTAATTTTCTCTAGCTCTTTCCGTTGCCTAGCTTTGGCTAGCTTTGTATTCTTATTTCACGTGCGTATACCTACCACCATTTCCTTATCCTCGATCTCCCGCTAGCTCTCTCCTTCCAAGATATGCGCATTTCTGATTCCTCGATCTTTCATCCCTCTGTCCAGCTCATGTATTTTTACATGACTATAACGTACCGTCTTCCTCTTTCCTTCTCTTTATTTATATCTCACCATTTTTCATTTTGATGACGTCATCATAGTGAAAATTTCGATTAAATGCGACATGTCAGAATTTTCGTAATTTGCGTGTCATGCCTACCGAAGGTGACTTTTTCTGAAATCTGGATTCTACATTCCTGTCTTTTGCGAGCAATATCGCCATTATTTCTGCTTGGTTTTTGTTGATTTTTGAGTATGTTGTAGCTGAGACTATATGTTATCTAAATGTTCCCTCATTTTTTCAATCAGATGTCAGGATCACGCTCATGATCATCATTATCTTAATGATGATGATCATCATCATCATGGTCTGAAATCTGGATTCTACATTCCTGTCTTTGGCGAGCAATATCGCCATTATTTCTGCTTGGTTTTTGTTGATTTTTGAGTATGTTGTAGCTGAGACTATATGTTATCTAAATGTCCCCTCATTTTTTCAATCAGATGTCAGGATCACGCTCATGAATGATCATCATCGATCACTATCATGATGATCATCATCAATACCATCATGATCATCATCATCATATCATCATCAAAATCATCAGGATCATGATCATGCATGATCATCAACATCATCATCATCATCATTAACATTATCATTATAATCATCATCATCATCATCACCATTACTATCAAGATCATCATCTTCATCATCATTATGATCATCATTGTTTACATGTACATGTCTATATAATTTCTCTCTTAATTTCTCTATATGGGAGATGACTTTTCTCAAATCTGGATTCTACATTCCGTTCTTTTGCGAGTAATATCGCTGTTATTTCCACTTGGTTTTTGTTGATTTTTAAGTATTTTGTAGCTGAGACTATATGCTATCTAAATGCATGTCTCCCTCATTTTTTCAATCAGATGTCAGCATGATCATGATCATCATCAATATATTATATCATCATCATCATCACGGGCGTCTCCAACAATTTTTCTTCTTCCCTTTCTTTTTCTTTTTGACCTTTCACTGTACCATCTCCTTTGAATATTAACACGTATATCGCAAATAATGTAATAAACAACCATATTTACTTTATTATTACCCTATTATCACTTGATCCATTACTTTTTGCGTGTAATCCTTATGGGAGATGACTTTGTCTCAAAATCTCTACATTCTTGTCTTTTGCGAGCAATATCGCCTTTATTTTGGCTTGATTTTTGTTGATTTTTGAGTATGTTGAAGCTGAGACTATATACTATCTAAATGTTCTCTCATTTTTTTCAGTCTGTCATCATGGTCTAGCTGTTGATGATAATCATCAACATCATCATGATCATCATCATCATCATCGATCGTCATCATCATCACTATCAAGATCATCATCATCATGATCATCATGATGATGATCATTCTTTACATGTCTATATAACTTCTCCCTTTCTCAATATACAAAATATTATAATCTATCATAAGACTTGAAAACAGACCACCTTAATCGTCCTCGTGACGATTTAAAATCTAGTTATTTTTGTTGTTTGATTTCATTTCTAACTATAATTTAACCATTTTGACCCCAAAATAAACACCTAAACTACAAACAAGACCAAATAAGTTTTATCTCTTTTTTGGAGAAATCACAAAAATTTGTGATTTTCGGGCTGACATGCAAAGACAAAATGTCACGTGACTTTGTAACGGTAGGTCCGATTTTCAAAAAATTTGTTTCAAAAGATGCGCAAGACTCGAAGAAAAATAGTCATAAAATTTCAGTGCAATTTTTTTATTGCGTTAAAAAATTATCGCGAAAAATTAAGATGGGGGATGGGGCTTCTAAAGCCCCCCCCCCCCCCCCGGGGCTATATAGGGTTAACTCATAGCCTGCCATAAGGCTGCATGCACGCTATATATACTGCTTTGTCCATGCGAGAGAGCTATCGCTTGAATGCCATGTGCGTGCAATGCAGCATTCGTTATAGCAGTTATTGTTCATGCTCAATGGACTGTGCTGTGTGTTTTGCACTTGCTATTCATAGAACCATGGCGTTAATCAGATCATCTCCAAAACAACATGCCGATATCATCTTAATTTATCTAGCATGTAAACAAACATAGGGCCATGAAATTTCCAGAAAATTTGTTTTCGACTCTGTTTCAATAATAGACAACATAACATTATCTGCTTTAGTTTTCATCATGTTTTGTAAGTTCATTTCTTAAACAAAGCTATACGTTTATATTACCAAAGGTTACGAAGTAAGCCTCAGCGAACTTAGCAACATCACCTCACCATTGCAGAAGAAGGAAATGGAAAGATTGTTGGACCATCTTCAGGCCGACAAAGCCGGCAGATCAGTTAGGCGAGGAACAAAGGAACCATACGACAATTTGAAGCTGATAATGGTGTGGAAAAATCAGTTTAGGACAGAGCCCTTTCACTACAGACTCAAGTTAGCTGTTGGTCTTAAAGCTATTCAGCAACCTAAGATTGCTTATGATGTTCTGGCAGGTAAGGAACACTCAGAATTCAAAATTAATCATTGTAGAAATTGAAATATATTGCTAAATAATTTTACATACCAAATGAAACTTGTACAGGAAAACAAAGCAATCATGATCATTTATCTTCAATCTTTGCTGTAGCACTGTTCACTTGAGAGATTCTTCATTATGGAGTAGCCCTAGCTGTTAAGGTCCTATAGTAAGCATATCATATATTACATAATAGACAGAATGAAGTTTGTTATTACAAACTCAGAAAAGGGGGCCTTTTAATATATTATATGTGCTATTTTTGTTTCCATTATAGGTAAATATCGGACATCGAATGTCAATTCCGATGTTGTAGAACGTATTTGCAACAGTCTTGATGTTGATCCGCTGAAAAGACTCTGTGGTGAAATTGGACGGTATGACCTGATGCAGGAGAATCACAGCAATTCAGCAAAAGGTGTAGGGGTATGGGTATCAAACTGGCTTGAACGATTCAACAAAACCCCTGCGAGGACAACACTACCCAACATGACCATCGACAAGTTCACCTCTCGAAGACTTAAAAATGACAAGATCTTCAGGGCCGGATCTTTTGAACTTGCTGAAGAAATCATGCTAGTCGAGTATCCCAGATTCCCTTCTGATTAGTATACAATGCCCTCTAACTCCAGCGCCTTTGACTAGGCAACTAGATATTGGCGCTTTATAAATTTCTGGATTGGATTAGATTGGAACTAAAGTGCTCTCTTATGTTACAATAACATAATAATATTAAAGAAAGAAAAAAAATTATCTCGAGATACGATTGATTTGTTTCGATTTATGCTTATTGAGAATTGACATATTAAAGCTTAGGTTTATAGGGATTGCATGGGTAACTTTGCCTCAGATTCTGAATCAAAATCCTGGATTTAGCTCATGCTGTAATGATAATTATATACCTTTAGGTCAGTTAGGAACCCCATGACTTTTAAAAGCCGATCACCTGTCTGATTATCAAGATATGATTGGAAATCGAATCAAATTTTGCGTTTTCCAAATGGTTTTCATATACTACAGGCCTGATAAAAACCTGATTTAAATCGGCTTCCTGATTTTTTTTTTTTTTTCCGATTTTTTTCCCGATTTTTTTTTTCTTCCCGATTAAAAAAAAAAATTAAAAAATCCAGACTTTTTTCTTTTTTTTCTTCCCTATTTTATCCAGATTTTCTCAATTTCCCCCTAATCTTCTCTATTCTTTCCTATTTTTCCCTCTATTTTTCCCAATTTTCTTACACGAAAGGGGGGAATGTTGTTAGATGCCATTTTTTCCCTGTGAATCCTCTTCTTTTTTTTACTCAAGGGGGGCGTGGTTGAGGGGATAACAAAAAACCTAATTTTTTTTTAGTGCTCACTATCACCCCTGACAGGCCTGATAAAAACCCGATTTTTTTTTATTTTTCCCGATTTTTTCCCGATTTTTGTTTTTTCTTCCCGATTTAAAAAAAAAAAAAAAAATCCAGATTTTTTTTTTTTTTTTTTTTTTAACAATTATTTTTTTCTTTCCGATTTTATCCTGACTTTTCCCGATTTCCCTCTTATTTTCTCTCTTCTTCCCTATTTTGCCCTATTTTTTCCCAATTTTGTCCCAATTTTCTTACTTGAAAGGGGGGAATGTTGTGAGATGACATTTTTTCCCCGCAAATCCTCTTTTTTTTTTACTCAAGGGGGGCGTGGTTGAGGGGAAAACAAAAAACCTATTTTTTTTTTGGTGCTCACTATCACCCCTGAGAGTAATATAGAACTTAATCGTTTCAATTTGTTTAAGATAGTTTCAAACTCTTTATAGTGTATACATTCCGTATTCATACATTAAGGACCAAGGGTATTTGTTTTTAATTTCAAGTATTTTGTCTTTTGGAGAGTAACATACCGGTAGTCCTTAATCCTTTCAATTTGTTTAAGGTAGATTCAAACTCTATATTGTGTATACATTCCGTATTCATACATTAAGGACCAAGGGTATTTGTTTTTAATTTCAGGTATTTCTGATAATTTGTAATTCAATGTTTATAGTTTCCTAATTCTGGTTGGGTTTTCTGCCTGAAACAGTAATCATGATATACTAAAATCTTAGATATCTTTGGTAACATATAGCAACAAAAAAAAGGATCTTGAACGTATGGTAATAGTACATGTGTGAATTTTCTTAACCTATGCAACATCATTGTCTTTTGGAGAGTAACATAGTCCTAGTTTCAATTTGTTTAAGGTAGTTTCAAACTCTCTATATTGTATATACTCCGTATTCATACATGTGGGGCCAAGGGTATTTGTTTTTAATTTTAAGTATTTTGTCTTTTGGAGAGTAACATAGTCCTAGTTTCAATTTGTTTAAGGTAGTTTCAAACTCTCTATATTGTATATATTCCGTATTCATGTGGGGCCAAGCGTATTTGTTTTTTATTTCAATTATTTTGTCTTTTGGAGAGTAACATAGTCCTTAATCGTTTCAATTTGTTTAACCCTACGTTAACTGGGGGGGGGGGGGTCAATTTGACCCCCCCCCCCTGAAGAAATTTCGCGACTACTCCGAAACCGCGGCAGATATAAAATTTTCCTTTCATGACTTTTTACTTTCGAGTCTTACGCATCTTTTAAAACGATTTTTTGAAAATCAAATCTACGGTTACAAGGTCACGTGACCTTTTGTCTTTGCATGTCAGCCCGAAAATCGCTCATTTTCTTGATTTGTGTACAAAACATATGTAAAAGTCATTTTTCCTAAAAATAGATAAAACGTTGGTTATTCAGTCTTGTTTAAAGTTTAGATGTTTGTTTTGGGGTCAAAATAGTTAAATTGTAGTTATAAATGAAATAAAACAACAAAAACAATAAAATACATAAGTTAAAAAAACAATGAAATACATAAGAAATTATAAAAACAAGAGATAACATAAGGAATAACCTGGCTCTTCCAATTTTTTGTGTTGTATTATTATTCCAAATGGTCTAATAAATATATGTAGTGAAAAAGAATACGTAAACATGAATAATCTATGATTTATGGGCAGAAATGTGAATTTGATGACCTTATTTGCATAAATTACCATAAATATGCAAATGAGTGAATTTTTCAAAAATTTGAAATTACCATAGTATTCTACACACTTCACTTGACATGCATGCGAATTTTTGCGGCGATCGGCGGTGAAATGGCCGAGATCTTGGGGGGGGGGGGGGGGGGGGGTCAAATTGACCCCCCCCCCCCCCCAGTAAAAACCTGGTCTGAAATAGCCCAGTTAAAATAGGGTTAAGGTAGTTTCATACTCTCTATATTGTATATATTCCGTATTCATACATGTGGGGCCAAGCGTATTTGTTTTTTATTTCAATTATTTTGTCTTTTGGAGAGTAATATAGTCCTTAATGGTTCAATTTGTTTAAGGTAGTTTCAATCTCTCTATATTGTATATATTCTGTATTCATACATGTGGGGCCAAGGGTATTTGTTTTTTATTTCAAGTATTTTGTCTTTTGGAGAGTAACATAGTCCTTAATCCTTTCAATTTGTTTAAGGTAGTTTCAAACTCTCTATATTGTATATATTCTGTATTCATACATGTGGGGCCAAGCGTATTTGTTTTTTATTTCAAGTATTTTGTCTTTTGGAGAGTAAAAATAGGCCTTAATTTATCGGTTCAATTTGTTTAAGATAGTTTCAATCTCTCTATATTATATTCCATATTCGTACATTTAGGACCAAGGGTATTGTTTTTAATTTCAAGAATTTTTGATAATTTGTAATTGACTGTTTATAGTTTCGAGCGAAAGTTTAGTACGCGCTTTGTTCAAGTTGATAGCGGTCTATTTGACATTTGACCTTTACCCAGCTTCTTGTCCTGAATATATATATATATGTATATATATATTTGAAATCATACTATATTGTTATTTAAATACTCATTCTAATTTTATTGAACAACTTTCTCGATATAGATGAATGCTGCATTACATTTATATTAAAGGGGAAAACGGAATAGAGACAGTCATTTTGATTTTTACGGTTTAATTTCATCTCATCCAATACGTTTATTTTTATGCTTAATTTCAATTTTTGTAGTAGAAATGTTTGTATAGCAATAATTGTTAAATACTTTCTCAACTCTTTAGCTCAAACAACTTCCATTTTTTCTTCTCCATTCTCTCCTTCCCACCGTATTGGTCTTTCAACATGGAAGTGTATTATTACATTAAACATAACTTTGTTTTGCAATTTCGATTTCATCTTACCAATGCTAAATAATTTCTGCAAAGGTTGACTTACAATATGTATTTTAGTTTTGTATATGCTTTTATCTCTCTATATTTTTAACTTGTTTGTAAATTGAACATTTTCAGTCTACGAGCTGTTTGTTTGATGTGATTTTTCAATGAACCAAACCAATTCAATACAATTTAATTAAGGGAGCAAGGTTATAAATCTAAGCTCTGTTTAAATTTTGATATTTAAAAAAAATACGATGAGATTAATATGTGGATGAGGTGACGTGTTATTGTTAGTATAATCTTGATGGGTATAATGATGTTAAAGCGAGCAATATCTACTCATGAAGAGTATTTTTAAGTCTTGAAAGTTCATGCAAGATGTTATGTAATATTAACAAATTAGTCAAATGTGAATGTCAAAGCTTTTTTTTATTCATTATCACCTTGACCATTATGTATTGTTTGATAACAGTCTCTATCACCATCAAAGCTATCGTGGAATATGACATCACAAGACACACAATGCTGCTATTTATTTTATGTATAGGTAATCTTCTAAAATTATTATTATTACTATTGTGAACTTTAATAGATTTTTAAAATGTAAATGATATATAGTGATTGATTTTAAATAGCTACACATAAATAATGTTAAATGTTACCAATACTGTTTGAATGAATAATTGTAACAAATGAAATATAATGTTATGCAATGGAGCTCATATATATGTAAACATGCACAATTCAGCATTTTGGCTGCGAGGCATTGTTTTTTTAATAAAACCATTATTGAATCTTCTAAAATTATTCGGTTTTGCATCTCCATAAAACAAAATTATAACATTTTTATATGTTTTCAATTTGCGGCACTGGGCAAATGATCAGCGTAACATGGAAACCCTTGACAATGTTCATTTTACATTGATCAATTTAAACATTTTCTCATTGGTTTCGATTTGGAGGCGTTTCATAAATTTCGTTGTTCTTCATGCTATATACCTTAAAGAGCTTCTAATGAAGAAAAAAGAGTTAGATCAATGCTGTTTACATGACTGTATTTACTGTAATATGTCACATTTACTCGTTGTTTAAAATCAGTTTTGTTTGAATGTGATTTTGCCGTTCTTCAGTGTGAACTTTTTGAAAGTTAAATAAAAGAAATGAATATGTGCCTAATATGTCAACGAAATGCACGAGTCATTTCTTCATCTTGCTAATACATACATGTAGGTTTATGTTATAAATCTAGGATGCGAAATCTAATGTGCTTAGATTAGCAAGTGTGCGCTTGTAAAAATGACGCCTGGCTGGAATATTCCCCAGGGAGTGGAGAATGTGTATGCATTGTGTGCGGGTAAGCCTGAATCCGATGACTGGGGTATTAATATGATTGCAGGGTCCTTAGGGAGAACAGTATGAATACTGATGAGGCTACCCTGGGTAAACAAGACATATTACTATTATTATTATTATTATTATTATTATTATTATAAATAATGGTAGTCGATCCGTAGACTATACACAATAGAGATTTACTCTGATCTCCATGACCCATTTACTTGTAATTAGTATGTAACGTACAAAACCTAGAAACTTCAGTCAAGTGGTTGAAAGACTAAAGTCCATCCTGATATTAAAGATGGT